CCCACCTCATCAAGCCAAGGAGGCTAGGTGATCATACCTACCTCTCCTGGAACAACGAGCAACCAGCCTCTGCGGGAATGGGGTCTGCCATCAACCGGTTTGCCAGCTGAGTAGGTCGTTGCCTGTTTACTTTTTTCTTCGTGTTATGCTATGCTATAACAGTCACTGTTTGGGCGTGCTATCGTCCGCCCTCCTTTTCCCTCCCCCTCCACTTTTCTCTCGCTTTGGGGAGCTTCTCTCGGACCTTTTTCTCTTGGATCATTAAGTTTCTCGCTTTGCTGTAAGATCGGAGATTAGTTCGGTTTGGGTACATGGCGTTCTTGTGTTTTTAGTTCGGGAGACATACTGTTCTCGCATTAAATGAATATAACCTGAATACAGTACGAAGTGTCCTTTGACAGAGCTTTTTTGCTTCCATTATTTCTTGAAAGCGAATTTCTGCAGTGGATTTTAAACATCTTGCCGCGGCTGGCTTATAAGGCATTGTAAAGCATAGTTAAAATATCGATCGGGTCGGCTGGCCTAATGGTAAGGCATCCGTTTCCGGTTTGTTTCCAGACTGCGGAAGATTGCAGGTTCGAGTCCTGCGTCGATCGAATTTTTTGTTTTTTTATGCTATGTCTGCTCAGACTACGAAGAACATATCACTAATCAAAGGGACAGGTAATTTCGTAGTTCAGAGATGGCATTCTAAAGAGTGCAAGGGAATCAATTTCAGCAATACAATGAGCATGGGTATTCTAGCATAAGAACCAGGGGTCTAAACAAAAGGCATCTATGAAAACAAATGCAATCGCGCAACGCTTCAAAGACGACCAGGTATTGGAAAGATAGATAGCAAACAGATTCGGTCTTTAGTTTATTCCACCTTGCCTCTGGTTGGCAAGATACTTCAAGAACCCCAATGAGTACCGCGAGACCATCTGGTAGACATTCTTGAACCCGTCTCTGCCGCCATAGTAAGGGTCAGGGACAGCATCCCCCTTTCCAACCTCCTTCGTGACCACGCCATCCTGCGACGCATAGTCGCCAAACAGCCTAACCTCCGCGATCTTAACGTTCTGCGACTTGAGCCCACGGACCGCCTTCTCCCTCGCCGACAGGATATCGCTCAAGTTTGCTCTGTCCATTGCCATGATGTAGTCGAAGTCCGTGAAGTCAGACTTGCGCAGCTGGCGGCCTGAGTGGCGGTAGTTATTGATGCCGTTGCTCTGCAGGGTGAGCATGGTACGGCTGTCTGGGGGGTCGCCGACGTGGAAGGCGGAGGTGCCTGCGGAGTCGATGTGGAAGGTGAATTCTTCGGGGTTTGTGTTGGTTTTGACGAGGTGTCTGAAGACGCCTTCTGCCATTGTTGAGCGGCCTGGTTGAGGTATAGGGTCAG